CGTTGGATCTGACCCATAGCGACCCTGTATAGGGTTTCCAAGGAGCAGCTGGTGAGCTTGAACCGCCGACCTTACAGTTCAAATGGCTTTGCAGTCTGGTGCATTAACCCACAGTGCCACATAAATATAGTTTTTAATTCTTTATAACTTTTAGTATAATTGAAGGCGATACCTTGAAGATAATAATAAAGCCTTTCCCTCCTACCACCATGTATGTTAAAAGGCAAAGTGCGCCCAGAAATTTAATTGTATTCTATTATTGCTTATCAGAATTAATTGCTCTCTTGTATAATTAAAATTTCATGACTGTGTTACAATGGTTCTGTTCTGCTGGGACTTGTGGACTTTAATTTTGTTTGTTTGTTTGTTTTCTTTCATCGCATAGTACGCTTGTTTATATCAAAAAAGGATAAAAGTTCAAATATGGCTCTGGGAAAAGTGGTTTTCCAGATGGAAAATAATTAAAATAGATCCTTACAACAAGTGCAAAAATAAATTCCAAATAGAATCCAGACCAAAATAGTAGAAGTCATTTTTACTTTAGAAGTAAAGCTCAGAAGATTATATTAAAAGAAAATCAAAGAGCTCATCTTTTAAATCTTGGTTCAGGCAGTAAAAAACACAAACCATAAGGAAACCAATATATTTGACGAAGTTGAAGGACAAGCTTTCTGTAAAAATTGTACTTCACAAAGTAAGTGAAAGGCAAGACACAGCACGGGGGTAGGATATGGTAATGTATATAACCGACAAAAGATTGCTAGCCTTAATATATAATAAATAATTATTTAAATCATTAAATTGAAGAAATCAAATTGATAAATGGGCAGCAAACTTGATCAGCAGATTCACGGAAGAGCAAAAGCAAGTGGCTTATATTCATGAAGAGTGATGCTTGATCTCACCGGTCATTGAACAGATGCAAAAGAAAGCATGTCATCAGATTAATAAATACTCAAACGTCTGATGGAGCTCCATGTTGTGAAGCAGGAGGAGCAGTGGAGCCCTTGTGCATTCTCAATGGGAGCGTGCATCAATTCAGGGACCCTAGGGAGAAATTTGGCTACATCTAGTCAATTGAAGTTGTGTACTTCTTTAAGTCTAATCCTTTTATTCTTAGAAATCTACCTAGATAAACTCAGATCTGTTCATAGGAAGATGTGTATTACAATAAACAGATCAACATTTCTTATAATAACAAAAACAGCTGAAAAGTAAGTCAAATGAGAATTAACAATTCAATGCATAAATATGTTTGGATATAAAATGGGATATTATAACATAGTTAAAATACACACATAGTAGCACATATACATACATTTCACACAGTTGAATGGGAAAAACAAGTTGTAAAAGTCTATGTATGATATTTTACCATTTTTGTAAATACAAAATTTTATAACCTTAACTTTTCCTAGTTCTAATTCTTCATTTCTAATGCATGCTTAATCACTGTTACTAGATTCTTATAGAAACCATTTTGAATTCTGTTGATGGAAACACTTTGGAAGTTATATAAATATAATGCAGATTTCTTAAATGAATTCTAGAATGTAAAATTGTCAGTCTTAAGCCCTGTGAACCACAAGGTCAGCATTTCAAGCACATCAGCAATTCTGTGGGAGAAAAAGGGGGCTTTCTGTTCCCACAAAGAATTGTAGCCCTGGAAATCATATACAGCATTGCTATGAGTCAGAATCGACTCAAAAGAACTTAACAACAAAAATCTTCACATATAAGCTTCTGTAAAAAAGACGTGACTCAATGGAATGTGGAAACCATCAAACAATATCATTAATATCACATGCAAGTAAAATTTTACTAAAGGTGATTCAAAAACGTCTGCAGCCGTACATAGACAGAGAACTAACTACTAGAGGTTCGACCTGGATTCAGACTAGGATGTGGAACATGGGATATCATTGTTGATGTCAGCTAGATCTTAGTTGAGAGCAGAGAATAAAAGAAAGTTGTTCATCTGGGCTTTATTGACTATGCAAAGGCTTTTGACTGGAACCCTGAATTTTGCTAATGAGGGACTTGTGCATAGACTAAGTGGCAGTCATTTGAACAGAACAAGGAAATGCTCAAGGTTTAAATTCAGGAAAGATGTGCACCAGGGTTGTATTCTTTCACCAGACGCATCCAATCTGTATGCTGAGCAAATAATTCAAGAAGCTGGATTATATGGAGAAGAACATGGCATCAGGATTGGAGCAAGACTCATTAACTCATTAACAACTTGCAATATGCATATGACACAACCTTGCTTGCTATAAGTGAAGAAGACTTTAAATACTGATGAAGATCAAAGACCACAACGTTCAGTATGTGTTGCACTTTAAAGTAAAGAAAACACAATCCCTCACCACTGGAACAATAATTAGCATAAATGGAGAAAAGATTGAAGTTGTCAGAGACTTTATTTTGTTTGGATGCTCCATCAACACTCATGCAAGCAGCAGTCAAGAAATCAAAAGATGCATTGCATTAGGCAAATCAGTTGCACAAGACCTCTTTAAAGTGTTCAAGAGCAAAGATGTCAGTTTGAGGCCTAATGTGCACCTGGCCCAATCATGGTATTTTCAGTAGCGTCGTATGTATGTTGGGTAGTGAACAAGGAAATGTTGGGTAGTGAACAAGGAAAACCATAGAACTGATGCATTTGAGTTATGGTGTTGGAGCAGAATATTATGGATTGGCCAAGTGGCTGCATTGATGGACTCAAGTGTGGCAACAGTAGTGAGGTTTGCCCAGGATCAGGCAGTGTTTTGTTCTGCTGTGCATAAGGTCACTATGGATCGGTTCCAACTTGATGGCACCTAACAACATGGATTTCCAGAAGGACAAACAAATCTATTTTGGAGGAAGTTGCTCCTTGGAAGCCAGATTGGCCAGACTTCATCTCTCATACTGTAGACATATAACCAGGAGGGACCAGTCCCTGGAGAAGGACAGTGTGTTTGGTGAATTGGAGGGTCAGCAAAACAGGGAGATCCCAATGAGATGGAGTGACACAGTGGCAGCAGCAATTGTGAGGATGGTGCAGGACTGGGTGGTGTTTCGTTCCATTGTACAGAAGGTCACTGTGGGTCAGAACTGACTTGATGACACCTAACAGCAATAGTAGATGAAAGTATTTCTCAAAATGTGATCTTCAGAGCAGTGTGTCTTGGGGATGTTATGTGAAAACTGCTTCAATGAGAAAATAGGGGATTTAATAAAAAAATTAGAGGGTTTCTGTACCTTTGTACCCTCTTTTGAGATATTTAGTATGGAAATATACTTTAAGAACTAAAGACATACTACAAATGAAGGAATACACCAATTTAGGGATTTTGTATTTTTGGAATACACTTTGTGACATACAGCTTTTTTTTTTTTTTTTTTGTATATATATATATAAAACCTTCAGTTGTACGGTTTCATTTTCTAAACTATGATTTTGGTGTTTGTAATTCCTTTGATCTTCCCTAGTAAGAATATTGAAGTACAAGCAGATGTATTATTTTATTATTGTTATATAAATAAAGTATTAAAATGTAAGCTTTTACACTGATGGTGTTTTATATTACTTTCTTCTTTGGTAAAGGTGTATTTATGTTGTTGTTAAATTCCAACTCATATCGACCCTATGTAGGGTTTCTAAGGAGCAGCTGGTGCATTTGAACTGCCAGCCTTTGCGGTTCAAACTGACCTGCAGTCCAATGCTTATCCTACAGCACTATACCAGAACTACAGGGTATATATGTGGTACCTAAAAATTATTAAATTGTTTTTTAAAGAGCTTCTTTGCACTATTTACTTTTATTACGTATGAAGGCCTGCTTTTCTTTATGGTAAGTCAAAGATGATGAAATCTAAAATACTGTCTTGCAAATATCTGTAGACATCTTTCTTATCTGTAAAATGAAAACAATGTTTTTGAAATATCAACTTGTTAAAGTGATGTAAATATTTGGACCTGCTGAATCTGTTTTCAGGTATTCTTTCAGTGAGTATTATGTAATCTATTGCCTTTTTTGTTTGTAAACATAAAATTTCATTTAGTGGTCTGACTTTCTAATTTATTTAGTATTGGTATTCTGAATTTTGATATAGAAACCTTGGTTTATTTAATAAAATTGGTAAGTCTTTTAAGTAATCTCCTAGCAACGTCTACCAAATTTCCTTACTTTCATTCCATGTATTCTCATGCATGTAAAATTATTTGGGAATTTTAGGCAAAGATTATAATTATTTTTTAAAAAAGCTTTTATTATCAATTGAGTGATAGTTTACATGCAGAAAGTGGGTTTTGCACTCAACCAATCAGTTTGCTACATTGCAATGATTCCACTTCCCTCAATGTAACATTGGCCAACAGGCCAACAATAGTTACCTTTCTTCCCTCCCCTTTCTACCTTACAATACACAAAACACACAGGAATATGCAATCATTTAAACAACCAAAGGGCACATTTTACAAGCCAGCCTCCTGCCCACCAGCACACAGTCTTTCTCGTTCACTGAATCTAGAGTCCTCAGCTGCTCAATCTCACTATGCCTTTACTTCTGCCTCTGTGTCTGGTGTCACTGCTTCTCTGGTTAGGATCTCACTCTGTTCCTGTTCTTCCTACTTGATGGTCCTAGGGTCCTCTGTTTCTGGAATGCAAGATTAACTAGTACCCCTTTTTTGTTATATAACTTCTACCTTTGCAGTTGTGACAATTATAATTAGTAATGATAACAATTACTATTGGATAAAAAAAATCCTACCCCTTCTCCTTTTGCCATACCCATTTCAACAAGATGAAAACGATCCTGAAAAAATTATTGCTAAACTACAAATACTCCTTAATATTTGTAGTTTAGCAATAATTCTAAACTGTGGGTCTTGGAAAATTACCAAAAGACCAATATTTTTGCTTCTTGATTTTTAAGAGTTTTAATTTGGTTTTAATATAGTCTTTAATTAATTAATTTATTAATTATTTTCTTTTCTGTTTTCTGTTTTCTAGCTTGTGATGAATGGAAAATACTACCCAAACCAAATCTTCATAGAGATGTCAACAGATTTGGACACTCTGCAGTTGTCATTAATGGGTAAAAGAAGCACATTTGTCATTTTTCGAGTTAAGAGTATCAGTTATACTATCCATGTGTTCAGTTAATCCATTTGAAAACTATAGTTTATACTTACTGGCATTGGATTTTATGTATCCTTATTGTGGACGGTGTTTTGGTTCATTAATCATATCTTTCATTCATTTCTGTTGGAATATGTTTAAAGGCCAAGGAATGGAGAAAGATGTGGCAGTCTGCTTCTGTAAACATTGCTGTTGCTAAGTACCGTTGACATGGGAACCCTGTGTATACAGTTTCCAAGGAGTGTCTGGTGGGTTTGAACCGCTGATCTTGTGGTTAGCAGTAGATTAAAGTCTTGGAAACCCCATGGGGCCGCTCGCCTCTGTTATATACGTTTCCTTTCAGTCGTAATGAACTTCCCAGAATGCAAAGCTAAAGACTTTTGATATACCCTCAAAGCAGCCCAGCTTTGGCAGTCATTCTGCCCTCTTCCCTTTTTTCAGAGACCAGTTTTAAGAAATTACTTTTTCCTTAAAAATGGTCACCCTGAAAAGATACATAAGCTAGCCTCATATTTCTACCAAGGAGAATGAGGAAAGTGAAAAGATTTAGATTCTCATTTAGTTCTGCCATTAACTAAATGTATGGTTTTTAACAAGTCATTTCACATTTCTGGAGTTTATAATTCTCATATCCATTGGTGATTTGGACTGGATAATCATTAAGTCACCTTCCTTCCCTAAATGAATGCGATTTTTAGAATTCTATAGCAAACACTGTGCAATTTGGATTCAAGTGGCAGTAAACAAAAAGTTTGTAATTTGTAATGACACCTTTAAAAATTCATTTTCTTACCACCTTTTCCTAATTATGTAGTATTTCTCCATGTTACCACATAATAACTTGATCCTAAAAACATCTAGAATTAACCACAATGGAGCTTTGTAAATAGAATCATGTGGTTTTGGAAATGATCTTAATAGACTTCTCTAGTGAAAAATTATAAAATTATTTTACATTTTAAACTTTTCAAAGAGACTCTTGAAGCATTTCTTGATCTCTCCCATTTATTATGTTATGAATATTTCCAGAAATGAAAAAAAGAAGTGCTGTTTTTAGGGCATGTCAGACTTATTTAGCACTGTTGTTGTTGTTAAGTGCCCTCTGGACAGTTCTGACTCATAGCGACCCTGTATAAGGCTTCTGCGGAGCAGCTGGTGAGTTTGAACCATTGGCCTTGTGGTTCAAACTGACCTTGTAGTCCAGTGCTTATAATGCAGTGCCATACCAGGACTGGTTGTATTAACTCAGTGATCCATGTAGGTTTCGCTTTCCAAGTTGACATTTTGAATTTTTTTTGATCATTTAAGTTGTTCTTTTTATTTTAAAAAGGAGAGTAAAACATCACAACTAATTTCTCACTCCTCTGTCTGTGTTCTTAAAGTATAATTCAAGACAACAAACCTAAAGTTGGTGGTTCTGTGCTGTGGAGTCCGTTCTGACTCATAGCGACCCTTCATAGGATTTCCGAGGCTGTAAATCTTTCCGGGAGCAGAAAGCCTTATGTTTCTCCTGGGCAACGATTGGTAGTTTTGAACTGCTGACCTTAAGGTTAGCAGCCTGACTCGTAACCATAGCTCCTTAGCCATGTATAGTTGTTATCTACTTCTTAAAAAAAATAGTTCCCCACCTTATTAAAATGGTAGTTATTTCCCAGTCAGAAGAATGTAATTTTTAACTTCATTCCTTCTCCTTTCTTGATTTAGTGATGAACACTTTTTGAAAACTTAATATTTTCTGAAAACTTTACCAAAATCAAGCCAAACCCATTGTCATAGAGTTGATTCCGACTCATTGTGACCCTCGAGAACAGAACAGAAGTGTCACTTAGGGTTTCATATCTAATCTTTGAGACTTCCACAACTTTATCCCAGAATAATAACAATTATTCAGTTAGCAGTCAGATGGTTTTGCTACTGTGTCACCAGTAAGACCTCTGTAATATTTCATATCTTATCTGGAAAATCTTCAATATTAATTTATAATAGCTCACTTGTTGATTTCACAACCTAGAGAGGGTTAGTCAAAAGTATTGTTCCTAGGGTTTCGGTTCATATGTACAGAACAAAACATGTTGAAACATGTCTCTAAGCTCAGTGGATAGCTGCAGGAATGTTTTCTCAGTAATGCCTTTGTCTTCATCTCATCTGTTGTTGTTAGTGCTATTAAGTCAAATTCCCACTTATAGCGACCCTTTATAGAGATTCCGAGGAGCGGCTGATGAGTTTGAACTGTGAACCTTTTACTTACCTGCCCAGTGCTTATTCTGCCGTGTCACACAGTACCTGAAACAAAAGGTCCAGTCAAAAGAGTGGCTCCAGAGGGGATCCACTGGGCCAGTTAAATTCAAGGCAGAGATCAGCTTAGAAGGTTATGACGATCTTTTTTGGGGATTCCAAAGGGGTCTTCTTGAGAGAATTTCTCAAAGGACTCAGGATGATCATAGAGGCTTATTAGGAAGTTTAAAAATATTTTTATTTTTTTTTAAGAAAGAAAATGTGAAAACTACACTGGTGAAAAAAAAATCCAGGAAAGTTGCACCCAGCAATTTTTTTCCATCCCGACAATGTTCCTACCTGCTCAGGGTTCAAGGGCTGCCCTGTGAGAATTTTGTATGGAAACCCCATCCCCACTACAACCCTAATCTTACCCCTTGACACTTGTTTTTGTTCCCCTAAACTTAAAGAACTTCTAAACAGAACACAATGGGAGTCCCTTGAGGATGCCCAAATTGCCATTTGGATGTGGTATAAACGGAAGAGTGCAGAATTCTTTGGGGAAGGTTTGGTGGTGGTGGTTATGGAGTCGGTTCCGGCACAAAGTGAACCTGGAAAGTCGGTTCCGACTCATAGCGACCCTGTATAGGGTTTCTGAGGCTGTAAATCTTTACAGGAGCAGAAAGCCTCCTCTTTGTCCTGCAGAACAGCTGATAGTTTCGAACTGCTGACCTTGAGGCTTGCAGCCTGATTCATAACCACTATGCTACAAGAGCTCCTTGGAAACCCTGCCTTTAGAAGTGTTTAGACAAAGGTGGAGGATATGTCAAGAAACAATCATTTCATATTTTGATGTTTTTGTTGAATAAAGGTTTCTATGATTTTTGTAGTGATACTTCGTTTTTTTACTTTTCCTCGTGTTGTCTATTAGAAATATGATTTTAAAGAACATTGCTGATGTGTTTAAAAATAATATAAAATGTATACTTAAATGCATGTTTTTAAAAACTAATGTATTATACACATTTTTTAACAAACACAATTTTTTAAGATTCTTGCTTTGTTTTTAACAGGTCCATGTATATATTTGGGGGATTTTCTAGTGTACTCCTTAATGACATCCTTGTCTACAAGCCCCCAAACTGTAAGGCTTTCAGAGACGAAGAATTGTGTAAAAATGCTGGCCCAGGGATAAAATGTGTTTGGAATAAAAACCACTGTGAATCTTGGGAATCTGGAAATACTAATAATATTCTCAGAGCAAAGTGCCCTCCTAAAACAGGTAAGCCCCCCTCTCCCCCACTCCCAGTTCTTCCTTATTTGGTAATAACATTTCTATACTTCATTAGAAGAACAAAAGATCCATTTGGCTTATAAGAATTACTTTAGTAGCTTTCAGGAATTTAAAATTCAAAGCTGTAATTAGGGAAGTCCATGTTTGAATATAATAGCAATTAATAAGTTAATGTTTATTATCCATTTTCTAGTCATTTGAATGTTGTGGGTAAGGTGTGGGTCTGCCAACCCAAGGCTGGGGGTTTCTAGCCTCCAACAGCTCTATGGGAAAAAAAGGAGGCTGTCTGCTCTTGTAAAGATCGACAGTCTTGGAAATTCTATATAGGGTCGCTAATGACTACGGATCAACTTGATGGCTGTAGGGTCTTTTAATGTATAAAATATTTTTATATAAGAATCTTCTATACATATTTGTAAATGAATTCTTTTGCTATATATAAGTAAAACAGTGCTACCAAATATATCATTTCAAAACAATACTGTGTGCTTTAGGAAATAAAATGGAGTAATTTTTCTCTACTTGTTAATATTTTTTGTTCTTGAATTCTTGCCAAATCAGACCTGAAAATTAAAAGTATTTTCTAGAATGTGGTAGCCAATATCCTAGTTTCATAATCCTTATAAAAGTGTTGAAGAAATAAATCAGACTTATTAAAAATGACAGTAAATATTTAATTTATTCATTTATGAATGGTTGGGATTAAAAAAAATCAGTGTTCTTTAAATGAGTAGGGGATTTTACTAATGATGCTACAATGAACAAATGTATTTTATAGGTTTATTAATCTATATAAACTCAGATGGCTGTGAGTAGCTTTCTGAATAGTAAGTTTATAAACAAGTACTCTTAGAATGTTTTCTTTTGGATATACAGTAAAGATTGTGCTCGGTATAATACCAATAAGTCCTTGTTCCCAGCCACCCTACGTAAATTTCAATGGCTTTAGAATCTTGGTGAAATGAATAATTAAAGTGGTGGTAGGAAGGAGCTCTGGTAGCGTAGTGGTTACGAATCGGGCTGCGAACCTTAAGGTCAGTGGTTCGAAACTACCAGCTGCTCCGCGGGAGAAAGATGAGGCTTTCTACTCCCTTAAAGATTTACACCCTCGGAAACCCTGTACAGGGTCGCTATGGGTCGGAACCGACTCGATGGCGCATAACAACAACAACAACAAGGAAGTATCTCACACCCTGCAAACACAAGTAAACTACAAAGTTGACTTCATATTGGGGGACTTATTTTTATATTTAAGGTCAAAATAATGGTTAAAAATGCTTATTGATTCATAAGCAGATGTTCAAAATGTGCAAATTAAGAAGTGTGACATGTTCTTATCCCTCCTGTTGTGTTCTTTCTCCCATTTGTCTTACAGCTGCTTCTGATGACCGGTGCTACAGATACGCCGATTGCGCCAGCTGTACCGCTAATACGAATGGGTGCCAATGGTGTGATGACAAGAAATGCATTTCGGCCAGCAGTAACTGCAGTATGGTTAGTGTTTATGGGTCAGTGACCTTGGAGGTCACATTGCTCGTTGTAAATCATCAGCTCATCATGTTCCAGTATGGTACATGGAAGAGATGGTGTATGTATGTGGGGAAGACAGCCAGAATTCAGTTTATATACTTTGTGAGTAAATTGAATCTGAGGGTTTGAGAATGGGGTTTGTGTTTTGATCTGTCTTTAAGTCAGTGGTTACCGATTGGAGTTAATTGTCCCCTCAAGGTATTTGTCAATGTTAGGAAATGTTTTGGGTTTCACAACTGTGAGGCTCCTAGGGCCTTGTGTAGGTAGAGGGAGGAATGCTGCAGGTTACCCTACAACGCATAGAGCAGCACCCCACACCCAAGAAAGCTCTGGCTCAAAATGTCAATAAAACTGAGTTTGAGAAACCGACTTAATGACAATAACAACAACCATGGTTGAAGAAAGAGTGTTGGGGAAAAAAAATGGCAAAATGCACATTTATAGTAGATCAGGAAAGATGAAGGGTATCAAATATTGATACTGTAAGTTGTTGTTATTGTTAAGTGCCATGGAGTCAATTCTGACTCATAGAGACCCTGTATAGAGTTTCCAAGAAGTGTCTGGCGGATCTGAACTACCAACCTTGCAGTGAGCAGTCTAGTGCTTATCTTAAAGTGCCACACCAGAACTCCAATTTTAAGTTAGTTAATATTTTAAGTTAGTAGTATCAAAATGGAGTCCTAATGTGGCACTGAAGGATAAACACTGGAGTGCTGATCCCAAGGTCGGCAGTTCAAACCCATCAGCCTCTCCTCGGATACCCTAAACAGGGTCACTATGAGTTAGAACCAACTTGAAGGCAGCTAACTATAACAAAGCATTATAATATTTCACATTTTCTACATGTCAGCGAATTGAGAGAAAACATTGTAAATAGTATTTCCTAGGATAAAAGATTTTCCTATTGGCTATAACAATAACGAAAGACTGTCTACAGCAGATTTTTGCTAAAGGCAACTGAATATGATATACATTCATTGTTCTTTCTCTGAATGTTTATTAATCAAAAGTATGAGCTTGTTTTTCAAGGACCCACATTCAAGGCAAAAAGTGAGAAAAAAGAGTTTGAATTCAAACTATGGAAAAAACTTTTTGATATCTTCTAAAAATTTTCCCTGGTAACCAAAAATATTTCAAAATAATTAAGTGCTATAATTCTATTCTAAATTAGTATTTAAACTAAAAGGTTACCAGGGATAGGAGGGAGCGGAGAGGAATTCACTGGCTAGAGGGAGTGATGAGGAGCTCAATGCACAAGAAGAGGGTGGCTGGCAGAAGAATGATGAAGCTAGGGGAAGACACAAGGAGGTGTACATGGGCTAAAGAGGCCAGAGGTCCACAGTGATGTACACACAACCTTGGAACAACAGTGTTCTGTGCCTACATATATGGATTGAAACACAGGCCGGATGGGTAAGGTAGGAAGAATCTTGCAGTTGAGTGCTTATCCTATAGCACCACACTGGGACTCCATATATGAATTTATTCCACAAATATTTAAGAGTTTGAAAGACAATATTTGGATAGGAGTATTTACTTTTCTTGTAAACACAAGTATGAATGTGGTGGAGCATACAGTGGGCAAAATGAAGAAAATGCCCTAGATACTATCAAACATCTTAAAGCAATGAGCTGGTGGTCCTAGGGGCTCAGGACCATAGTCTCAGGGGACAGCATGGTCAATTGGAATAAGATAGTCCACAAAGACCATGTTCTATATCCTGCTTGGGTAAGTAGCGTCCAGGATCTTGAAAGCTCATGAGTGGTCATCTAAGGTGCAGCTATTTGTCTCTCCACGGGCAGAAGATATAAGAGTGATAATACTTAAAGAAGCATGCAATCAATTAGTTCAATGGATTGATGGAACATGTGACCATCAGTCTCCATGGCTCTGAGATCAGAAGAACTAGACAGTACCTGGCTACCACTACCAACCACCCTGAAAGGAATCACATTTCTAATGAGTCTCCCGGAGAGTGGGAGACAATGTGGAACAAAATTCAAGATTACTTAATTTAAAAAATAATAAAGACTGGGTTTACTGTTCAGAAAGAGACTGGAGGAACCGGAAACTCTGGCTCTTGCCTACCCTTCAGGTCTGGAAAGGAACTCACCCTTGTGGCCCAATTTATAGCCAAGCAGCAGATACATTTATGGGGGTGGTGGTGAAACAGCTACAGTAGCAAGTTAGGGTCAACCATTCAGAATCAAAAGGGCAACATTTTCCTAAGGACAAATTTGAGAAGGTGGTGGAATGAAAATAGGAATCACAAGGAGGAAGCTGGATAACTGTTGTTTCATGGAGGGGATTGTGATTATAGAGATGAAACAAAATGTATGGTTTGTTGAATGCAAACCTGATGATCTTGTCTGTAAACTTTCATTCAATTCACAATAAAAAGTTAGAACAAATAGTAATTAAGACTTAAAATGGAAGATTGGAAATTCTTTACTCTTCAGATGAAATCCTTTTGATTTCTTTGATATACTGATGATACCTATATAGTTGCCTTAATTGCAAGATGTACTTCAATTTTATTCAAGTTATAACATTAATCTGATATGACTATGCATTGAAAATTTGAATTACTTTTTAGATTTACATTATAATTCACCTAGTGGGAGTTATTTTAGTGAGTAATGTGGAAATAGGAGTTAAATAAAATAAGACGTGGGAATAAGGGACTAAAATGGAGAATGTTATTAGTAAAAAATTACTAGCAAATTTAATTTTAAGGTTTGTTGAATAACCCTGAGTTAATTTGTGTTTAAACAGTTGAAGTAGGTGAAGAAACCATCTCTCCCTTATGATCTAAATTTGTGTTATGTCAATAACTATCAAATAATCTAAATATTTGACCTTTTACTTTATATTTTATTTTTGATAATGATGTGTTACCAAGGAAAGCATTGAGTTAGATAGTATAAGTGGGCAGATGGTACTCACTTATAATTTAGAATTTGAGGTAATGTGTTTTGTAGACAGTTTTATCAGAATGTCTGGTGATTAAGTTAAACCAAATGCTAATGGGTACAGAAAGGTCTATGGGATTTCGGTGTAAATTATGTGCACTGTTACCCCACGCCATTATTTAGCCATATTTACTATAAGTTTCATATTTTGTGCTCTAATAGCTCATAAACTGCTTGCTTCTTACAGATTTTTATTTTAAATTTACATCTAAATACATTAGAGTGACGATTAGTAGAGTAATAGTTAATCTTCATAATTCGTTAGCTAATGTCCATCTGGTTCATTGGGCAAAAAATAATGCCAACCGTGTTTCAGAATGACAGTCAGCTTCGCTCCATCATTGATTAAATTGGCCCTGTGTGTGACTGCAATGCAATTTCATCTATTGTACTGGTTCAGTATAAATAAATGACTATATTGTTCCAAAGAGCAGTTGTTATTTGGAGAGACTCTGTTGTTACCATTGTTATTCTAAAGACTGGTGTGAAGCTGTTATTCTTTCTCTCTGCCAACATGAAGTTTAGCTACTCTTTGGACATTTTTATAGGCTATTTTATTTATTGGATAATTAAAGTAAAATTATTTCTTTTCTGTTAGCTGATAAACATTTAGAACTATGTATATTGATTATATTGAATATTGCTTAGATTTATATTGTACATAAATACAAAAAAGTAGTGTTTGTGAGGATGCTGTGGTACCAGGCAACATTGCGTTCTGTTGTGCATGGGGTCATTATGAGGGTAAACTGACTTGATTTCAACCAACAACAACCTGGGAGTCCTGGTGTGTGCCACTGTGGGTTAATGCACTGGACTGAAGAGTCGGTTTGAATCGCAAAGTCAGCCGTGGAAGCTCACCAGCTGCTCCTCAGAAACCATATGCAGGGTCTCTATGGGTTAGACCTGACTCTGCGGCACTTAACAACAACCAGATGAGTTAGAAAAAGTAACACTGAGAAAGTTTCTGTTTCCAGTGAAGATGTAGTGGTGCTTTAGGGTAAGCACTGGACGGCTAACACAAGGTGGGTGGTTCAAACCCACCAGCTGCTCCTTGGAAACCTTTGATGGCACTTAGCAATGACAGCAGCAACAATGAAGATGTGGTGGTTGAGTGAGAGTCATAAAGCAGTCTGAGGTTTTTTAGATGAATAGAAATCGACATTCCTCTCTGTGTATTTTATTTTATTCCTGTTATCCCTTAGAGAAAATGTAACTTGTTCTGAGGAAATCAGCACTCTGGATTGGCGGTGACTACAAAGTACTTCTTGTTGGAAAATATGTTGTTCTTGTTAAATGCTGTCAATTCACTTCTGATTCATAGTGACCCAAGAGGTCACACAAGGAGTGGCTGCTGGGTTTGAACTGCCAACCTTGAGGTTAGCAGTCTAGTGCTTATCCTTCAGTGCCACACCAGAACACCTGTTGGAAAGTGTAGTCGGTCATAGGTAAGCATTCAGTGGGTGACTTTTAGATCAATTGCTTCTGTTACTTTTATATGAATGCAGTTATAACCTAGTGTTAAGTTTTAGCCTTATTGACTGAAATGAAATGTCTCCCTCTCTTAAATGAGAAGGCTTGAGGTAAGTGTTTGTACCTGTGGAGAAAAACAATGTTGGGATGGTGCTCAAGCTACAGCAGTCTAGTGTTACATTTTTTGTGTTGTTATTGTTGTTAGTAAGTGCCATTGAGTTGGTTCCAACTCACAGTGACCCTGTTTAGGGTTTCCGAGTTGCAGCTGGTGGGTTTGAACTGCTGACCTGGGGTGGTGCTATTGAACCAGCACTGGACATTCTTTGTGTATTTCCTTCAAAAGCAATCACAGGGATAGTTGAACTAAAAAAATGAGTATCTCATTTTCACGAGGTCGGTTTTATAATGTTGTTCTTGTGTGGCATCCTATAGGATGGAGTAGTTACCCGATAGATCAGAGTAGGAATTACCCCCATAGGGTTTCTAGGCTAAAATCTTTATGGGAGAAGATTTCCAGGTCTTTTCTTAGAGCAGCTGGTGGGTTTGAACCACTGATTTTTGGTTAGCGAGTCAACTGCTTAACCATTGTATAACCAGAGCTACTTTTTTTTTTTTTTTATCATAAACATTAATAATGTTATGTGAAGTATCTGAACCTTTATGTATGGGTGTATACATGGTGTATGTCTGGGTGTAAACTTACCTCTAAAGTTTCTACATTAACTTGTTTCATGCTTTTAATCTTTTTTGACCTTTAACTTATCAGTGCAGGAATTAGTTGAAACATAATTATATTATGCAGTAAGATAAAAAAAGGTAACTTTTTCAGGTTTTCTTGTAGCCTCAATGATGTTGTTGTTGTCAGGTGCCATCGAATTGGTACCAACTCATAGCAACCTTATGCACAATAGAATGAAACTCTGCCCAGTTGTGGGCCAACCTCACAATTGTTGCCATGCTTGAGCCCATTAATGCTGCCATTTTTCCAATCCATCTCACTGAGGGTCTTCCTCTTTTTCTCTGACCCTCCACCCTACCAAACATGTTGTCCCTCTCTAGTGACTGGTCCCTCCTCACACTATGTCTGAAGTATGAAAGATGAAGTCTGACCATCCTGGCCTCTAAGGAGCACTCTGGCTGCATTACTTCCCACACAGATCTGTTTGTTCTTTTGGCAGCCCATGTGAAAAATAGACACTCAATAAACAGCAATTAACCACAACCATTAGTTAGTGTCCCTGGAAGTAAAATTCATTTGAGTTACCGAGAAAGAAATGTATCTTTCCAGAATGTATTGGATTTTGATAAAGCATCTGTTTAACTTTCCATTTGTGATTCATTTCTACAAGAATTGCATGATGGTTTTATTAAAGCTGGAATTATTTCATGTGATCATTAAGGGAAATGATTTTGTGCATTGGCTTCATTTTTTGAATTAGAAGTGTGTTGCCAATAGGAGAGGTTTTCATTAGATTATTTCTGTTTGATAACTTTAACTGTTTTGTTTTTTTTTTCAGTAGGATGCATTGTAATTAATTGAGACACTATGGATTAATGAAATGAATATGATAGATTTTGATTCAGTAGAACAGGACTCGAGACTGTCTTTCACTGCCAAAAAGTTGATTGAGATTCCTAGCGAATCTGCAATTCTTCATGGGAGAAGAAAGCCTTGTTTCTCTTCCATGGAGTAGCTGGTGGGTTTGAACTGCCAACCTTGTGGTGAGCAGTCCAGTGGTGATCCTACAGCACGAGCAAGCCTCCTTTGGGACAAGAAATTTGTATTTTAAAGTTCACATGTGAGGTATATGTAAACTGCTTTGCATAGGTGAAAAATGCCATCCTTTTATCTTTAAATTTTCTAGACTGTCAGAAACTATACCAAATGCCACGTGAGGAATGAGCAGATTTGTAATAAACTTACCAGCTGTAAAAGCTGCTCGCTGAACTTGAATTGCCAGTGGGATCAGCGGCAACAGGAATGCCAGGCATTACCAGGTAAACATTTCTAAAGTTAGTAAACCAGCTGTACATTCAGTGTGTGAATGAATACCATTGTAGTAAAGTGTGTTTAGTAAATGCATTTCGTTTTCTAAAATCCGAGTCATAGCAAATGCTGAACAACAATGTTAGGGTATTAATAAATAGTGTTATTTCTCTATGATTTTTTTTCATTTCAAGAAATTGGGAAAGCCACGTTTTATAACTGCATCTTTGCGTCTAATTCTTTAAAGGTACTTATGATTTTTTTGTATTATATACAATTGATTGATAAGATTCCTTTTCAGGGTTTTAAAAATTGTACCTTAAAACTTGGGAAACAAGCACCTCTACAGAACTCATATCCAGATTTAAGGAATGTGAACATAGTGCCATCTTTGACTTAAATGCCCTTAATTTTTTTTAAGTCTGTGAGCTCTTTTTGACTGCTTTTATATTAAATTATATCGTTTATAATAAATATTATGTTCCTTTATGAGAATCTAGATAAATCATACAAACCAGAACAGAGTTCGTTTTAAAAAGCCATTAAAATGTATCTTTTACTATCAATATTCTTCCTAGTGGAACTGTTCTTTTTAATGATAAAAGCTATAATCAGAGAATGATACTGGTATTTACCCAGTCTCCTCTTCTGGTTGTACAGGTGAATTGAGACACATGTAGAAGACTTGCTCAAAGTTACAGCACCTGTACAAGACAGTTTTCTGCCTCCTTCTGTATCATGGTTTTTGTTTTGTTTTTCTTAGAAATATTTTGAAACCTATATAATTATAAAAAGTGTTGGAGCATTCATTCACAGATGTTACTATGTCTATAAACAATCTCTCTAACAAGTTCATGTAATAAAATACAAATTAGATTGCCTTTAAAAATACCATTAAATATTAGAATAGGAGAGGAAGAGACAATTGTGGTGCATAGTGGTTATGAATCAGGCTGCTAACCTCAGGGTCAGCAGTTTGAAACTACCAGCTGTTTTGCAGGAGAAAGAGGAGGCTTTCTGCTCCCATAAAGATTTACAGTCTCGGAAACCCTATACATAGTCGCTATGAGGCCGGCACATAACAACACAACAACAAATGGTAAGCGTTGGACTGCTAACTATAAGACTGGCAGTTCAACCTCACCAGCTACTTCTTGGAAACTCTATACAGGTTCTTAACTCAGTGGCATTTAATAACAGCAACAACAGAGGGTAGACACGTGTTAACTTGGGTGAAGGGGAAAGCAGTTAAAAAAAAAATTTAAGTGTTGCCGAATCAGTAGCAACTCATAGTGACCCTATGCACAACGTAACGAAATACTCGCTGGCCCTATACCAATCTCACAATCGTGGCTACACTTGAGTCCATTGCTGCTGCCACAGTGCTAATCCATCTCATCATAAAAGTACTGTTGAGTATTAGAATATTTATTCCCGTTTTGAATTTTGTTTATATACTGATCATTAAAGCTTTTAAGCAGTGATAATGTATGTATATTCACTTTGAGAACATTAGAGATTAATAGTACAGCAGGCCGAATTTGCCAAATGAGAGTGAGATGACGCTAAGAAATTGAACGTAATATTGATCTCTTAAGAGTTAAACTGTAAAATCAAATACAGATCAATAGAAGTATTTACAGAGTCTCTTTCAAAGATAAAGTGAATCCTGGATGAAAATAAGATGACTGAATGAATCTAGCTGCAATAAGAAGGCAATTTTATTACCAGTGAAAGCTGGGAAGAATGAATGTGAAGTTAACTTTGGGATTATCAAGTACTCAATTTTCGGGACAAATACATGTTTATTTGTTTTAAGGACTGCACTTGATCAGGCAGTTATCTTGAAGTTACAATCAAATCACGAATCTGATATACTGACTTCTCTTGTTCTATTCCTCCATTATTCCCTTGAGGTGATTTTGTACTTTGGAATCCAGAAGACCATGCCAATCTCTATATTTGTGGCTTCAAATGAAAATAAGTGTGTCTTAAATCACCTTGTTGTTGATGTTGTCCAGTGTTGTCGAATCAGTTCCAACTCATAGTGACCCTGTATAGTGTTTCTGAGGAGTGGCTGGTGGGTTTGAACCACTGGCCTTGCAGTTAGCAGTCCAGTGCTTAGCTTATAGCACTACAGCAGGACTCCAAATGATCTTATTAAATGATTCTTAAAGGATTTTAGGAATTCCTATGTTTCAGGCACAGTTTACTCCTCAGAACAGCGGTTATCATAGGCCAGGGTCTCCACAATCCCTTTAAGAGAGGTCTGTGAGATTAAAACCAGTTTTATAATAAGATTTGATATTTCTCTGCTATTTTTAATCTCACTTTCTCATAGATTTATGATGGAATTTTCCAAAGGCTACCTGATGTGTGATATACCAATAGACTGAAGGTAGAAACAGAATTGAAGATATGGTATCCCCTTATTCAGTCAGACATTAAAGAGATTTGCAAAAATGAACCACAAAATACTTGTCTCATGATTTTGTTTTTCATTTTGGAGACTGTTTACAAATAAAATATTCTACTTATGTATCTTCAATGGATTCTTAAACATTTTAAATGAATAGACTTTTAAATGTGAAATGGTCAGCTTTAGTTTTCAATACGGCAACTATCAATAGAGCTACATACATAAAGGAAAGATCCACGGGTCCCTTAGTCATTTTTAAGAGTGAAATGGATTCTAAGCCCTAAAGTGTGAGAACCATTTTTCTTAGAACAATTCCATTAGGATTGCAGTAGAGCATTTATTATTGTTAAGTGACGACGAGTTGGTTTCGACTCATAGCGACCCTGTACAGGGTTTCTGAGGAGCAGCTGGTGGGTTTGAACTGCAGACCTTGTGACTCCCAGTCCAGTGCTTATCCTGTAGTACCATGCAAGGAGTCCACTAGATCATATAGCCCTATCATTTAATGTGGTTGGTTGTTACATGCTGTTGAGTTGCTTTTGACTGGTAGCGACTCTGTATCGTGTTTCTGAGACTGTAAAACTTTGTGGGAGCAGAAGCCTCATCTTTCTTGCACAGTGTGGCTGAGGTCTCGAACTGTGGATCTTGTGGCTCGCAGTCCAATGCTCAGCCTACAAGCCACTGCTCTCCCATTTAATGTGATGTGAAACTAAAATACAATCTAACTTTACAGTTTACTGTAGTAATGAAACACTGTATTGTTAATTAATGCACATTAGAACATACCTTGATGTATTTATAGGTGTGCTTTAGAAAATCGGCTGTTTTAGTACAATGTGGACTTTCTATGACTAAACCACTATTACTAAGTCTAAAATTTGAAAAGACCCGTGAAAGTAAACATTAGAAAGCAATGATTATAGGTTCTTCTCTAAAGAAATGAAATTAGACATCTTTGTCCATTCTTACAATTAAAGAACCAAAGAAACTAACATATATTAGAGCAGCACACCTGGGCTATGGGAATCATATTTGACGGACATTTAGGTATGCTTTTAAGAGTAGCTTTGAAATTGATATTTGATTATTTGTTTTGGAGAACCTGAGCAGGCTTGAAAAAAAAGTTCATGGAGAAATTCCATTATCTTTGCATTCCATTTAACAATTTTTTTTTAGTTTTTTTTTCAACGTTGTTATAAAAATCTATTGATTTCTCCAACGTGCCACTACATACGTCTCATCTTCCACACATATGGAACTTCTAGTGGTTTTCAAATGAATTAGAACAAAACCTCAGGAACTTCTTTGGCCTCCTTACAAATGTTCTCATGTGCCTGCCAACTTCATTTTCCAAACAAACCGTAAAGAACTGCTATCACTATTTACATTATATGAATATGTATTTCAAGTAAGTAGATAAACTAAAAAAGGAACTTCAAACTAAAATTTAGTAATTGTTTTCAAATATGCTACTAAATCTACTCTTTTTATTTTTAATGTTTTATTGTGAATTATGTGATAGTTTACATGGGAGAACATTAGCTTTACATGCCTAAATCTACTCTTAACTTGACCATATTTTAACAATCTATGAATAGAAAATAAATAAACACAGCAATTCAGTATTGTCTACATGTACCATTTAGTGACATTTAGTTGTACATCCCTTCTCTTCCTCCTTTTTTGAGTTGTTCCTGCCCCAGTACCAGAAACTCACTGGTCTCTCAGGGTCCTAGCTGATCTTTGAAGTTGGTCCCATAAAGATAGTTCTTTAAGAAGCTGAATACGCAAAGCAGACTTTTTTTTTTTTTTAAACTAGTTAAGCTAAACTAATATTTGGTAATAAGATGTCACAGGATATTTTTGGTTTTAAGATTTAAAAGGGGATCTCAAGGCTGTTGTATTAGGGGTTCATCTAAGTTTCCTCACTGCAATAAGTGTGGAGCCCTTGAGAAGTTTAAATTCTAGTCTGCATGGGCCCTCTTTCCATCAGGTTAAAAGTTGCTTTTCTTATGTGTTAAGTACCTTTTCAATTAAAATGGTCCTGTCTTCTGTCAATCAAGCCTTAGGGTACGAAGGAGTAGTTGCTTTTGTTAAGTGCTGTCAAGTTGGTTCTGATTCATAAGGACACTGTATAGGGTGTCTGGAGGAGAAATTGGTGGTGACTTTGAACTGCTGACCTTGTGGTTCCCAGTGCGGTGATTCCCCTACAGTGCCGCATCAAGACTCGGGGAGGCAGGCATACAAGTGCTTGAACTTGTTGAGATACAAAATACCAATATACTTGACTTTCCGCTGAAAATCTAGCAGACGCTGTCAGTGCTTTTTACCAGATTTTGTAGAATTCGTTTTGCTTACCTTAATCTTCAGAATGAGAGAAAAAAATAGCACCTTCTGTTCTCATTTTCTATCAAACTATTTGACAAATTTTGTTGAGGAATTGATTTTGGGATATTTAAATACCTTGACCTTTTTAGAAATTAAACACATGCAGATCTAGCATTTCATATTCTGAAGTCATTGAAAAGCATGTATTCTCTTTGAAAGCCTAAAACTAAGAGATGCTTCTTTTTGCCCCTAGCTCATCTTTGTGGAGAAGGATGGAGTCATATTGGAGATGCTTGTCTTAGAATCAATTCCAGTAGAGAAAGCTACGACAGTGCAAAGCTGTATTGCTATAATCTTAGTGGGAATCTTGCTTCATTAACAACATCAAAAGAAGTAGAGTTTGTTCTGGATGAAATACACAAGTATACACAACAGGTAACAACTTAATTTTGTATTATGGTCGTATGCTATAATAATCTCATAATTCATTGAAATAAGAATTATTTAAAAAATATATTATTCATATGAAATCTTGGAAATAAAAAAGCATCTGCAAAAATGAACAACAGAGGACTTGTTCTATATGTAAATCACTGCAAACTGTATCTAAAAGTCAGCTCATAGGAATAAATAACCCTAAACCCCCCTGCATAGCATTTAAGAATGGGTTTTGCAGTGTCATTAATAGGTACCTTGAGATGTTTCTTATAATAAGAAAGTGGACCAATACATTGGCAACATGTGTGTACATGTATTTTGTGTATGTAGTGAGTGTGTCGTATTATGAATTTAATTTTAGAGTACTGTTACTTTTCTAGGTATAGATTTTTCTTGACCCATTATGCTAAAAGTTAGCAGAACTAAGATTTTTAAGGGGAATTTTTAAATGGAAGGTACTGAAACATATTGTACTTAGAAATAATTTCAAGTTTTCACAGAGTTGCTTTATGTAAAAATTAAATAATTCTGAGAAAATGTTATCAAAATGCCATTATATGAGAAATTCACAGTACTTGTTGGTTTTCTCTTCTTAGGTTAAAATATGGTCAAGATTTAGTAGAAAATTTGAAAATATTTCCTAAATTTTAGTTTGAAATTCCTTATGTACTTCATAGACTTACTTGAAATATATTCCTGTAAGGTAAATGGTAATAGCTGTTCGTTATATTTTGTTTGGAAAATGAAATTGGCAAGCACTTGAGAAGGTTTGTAAGGAGGCCAAAGAAACTCCTGAGGTTTTGTTCTAACTCATCTTGTTTGAGAGCCGATGTTCCTTATGGGTGGAGGAGAAGACGTGTATAGTGGTGTGCTGGAGAAGCCAATTGATTTTTATAATATTGTTGAAAAAAACTCCCAACATTAACAAAGGAAGAAGAAAAAGGTAGAGAGAGAGACCAGATTGAGGCTGTGGGACCCCGAGACTGAGGCATTTAGTCACCGTTTAGTTCTGGAACCTAACCCCCCCTAGGCCTCAATTTTCAGCCAAATAGAAGCACTGATAAGGAACACACACCTTAGCATAATCAAACCTTTGAGATCAAAAGGGCAGCATTCACCCCAGTACAAAGTTCAGAAGGGTTAGGAAAGGAGAAGGAATGGAAATAGGGAATCCAGGGAGGAAGTAGGATAAGTGATTACACTCCGGAGTGTAGCATTGTTGTTATGTGCCATATAGTCGCTTCCTACTCATAGTGACCCTGTATAGGGGTTCCAAGGAGCAGCTGGTGAACTTAAACGGCTGACCTTGCTGTTTAAACTGACCTTGCAGTCCAGCGCATTAACCCACAGCACCACACCTAACGTTATGAGGTAAAATAAAATGCATATGAATTATTGAATGTAAAACTGATAAATCGCTCAATAAACTTCAACACAGCTCCCAGTAAAAAGTAAACAATACGTACACACACCCGTGTTTGTTCTCACCCTTTAATCTGGAAATAAGCTCTTGTGAGAAGTTCATGTTTTAAGATTCCTTGGGTGAGTTGCTCACTCTTGTAATCGTTATACATCACCAAGAGTGGCCTAACATCTGTTCTGAATGTGTGAGGAACCTATACCCAGGAGTCTGCTGGCCAACATGCCCTGTGTATGAAGAATGCTTTATTTCACCAGAAAGCTGAGATGTAGTAAGATTTCAAAGGTGGAAGCTTCAGCAAGGTGACATTCCATTAAGCATATCTTTATATAAAATGGATTATTTTTCTCTCCGTCACAGCAGTTGCGTACACTTAAGATAACCCTCTCTTGGCAAATAAAGATCGACAAATTAATACACCTTAAAAGAGATGTCTTGGGTCAAATGATCATTTACTTATCAGAAATGGCTAATGAAATGTTTCAATGATTTATGGTGTGCTGCAGTAAATTTTTATAATATAGTAATTTATCTTTCGTCTTTAACTGCCTGTCCAGTTCATTTACTGAGTAATAGTTACTTTAAATGTGTTATCAGCTGCTTCATTTTTCTCTTTCTTTCCTTTTCCTCTCAGATTCTTATCATGATGAGTTAGGGAGTAATATTTCATTTTAAATGCCTTGTCTCTCCTATAGATAGTTTGGAAACATAGGCAGAGTTGCTGTAATGTGAAGCGCCGTCATTAATCTGAAATCTCGATGTTGGATTGACTCCTGCTGTTATCATCAAGAGCTGTAAAAATGTTACAGCTTTTTTTTGTTTTGTTAACAAAATATTGTGGAGAATGATGTCTGAAATCTATGATGATCATAATGTGAAGCAGCATGTATATTTTTATAATTAGACATATTATTTATTCTCTGTCTGAGACATAGTATCGGATGGTGGAATATAATAGTCTCTGTTGTAATGCACTTTGTGTGGTGAAATTTACTGACTATCTACTATGGATATAACACTCTACTAGACAATATATGGTCTACTGTCATATTGAATATTCAAAATTATTTTAATTTTATTCAGGGAATTGTTGAATGTCTAAATGAGTGTGGAATTCATTGTTTTTATACACTTCACAAATTTCCATGCCTATGGCCATCTTTGTAACTGATCTGTGACAATCTGTACAATGTATTTAGAATGAATACTGATATAAATATCTTATTTTTAGTTGTTAAAGGCTCAGCTGGGAGACATAATCTCCTTACACTTGTAGTTCATAATGTAAAATAAGAGATGATGTAGAGTTTTGAAACTGCTTCACACTGTAATATGAGGTTGGTAGCTTAGTAAATTAGAAGAGAAATTACTGTATATATTAAGATTGAGGTGTTTCCTATAATTTAGAGAAGACAGTAGCTTGGACCAAGAATACATGATTATTTTTGTGTACTATAAGAGTAACATATTTTAAAAATGAGGTCATGATCAAAATAAGAGATATAAATATGAATAGATTTTGTTTTCATGCTAATTTTGAAGTTTTAGCTAGAGCATTAAGAATATTTGTTGTTGTTAAGTGCTGTGGAGTTGGTTCCGACCTATAGCTACACTGTATGGGGTTTCCAAGGAGCAGCTGGTGAGCTTGAACCGTCAGCCTTGAGGTTCATACCTCCAGCGCATTAACTCACAGCACCATACTAGGAATCCTAAGAATATTTAGTCCGTGTTATTTGCCAAACTTTGTTAGATATATTTTGAGCCCCGGAGCCAGAGGTTTGTACTAGATTTTACTTCTTTTAATGAAGGCGAAGTCCTAGTGTGGCGCTGTAGGATAAGCACTGGGACCGCAAGGTCGGTGGTTCAAACCCCACAGCCGCTCCTCGGAATCCCTACACAGGGTCACTATGAATCAGAACCAACTTGATGGCATTTTACAACAACAACAAAATTGACATGAGGTCCCTGGTGTGGTTCTATAGGATAAATTCTGGACTGATAACCACAAGGTTGGCAGTTCAAACCATCACCCACTCTCAGAAGCCCTATGCATGGTTGCTATGTTGAGTTGACACCGACTCGGCAGCACACAATAACAGCAACAAAATGAACTGAAAGTTCAAGTGTAGTCGTGATCTTCTGAGCAAGGAGTGAGACAATTCTTCTCTGAGTCCTTCCGCACCCTTAGTATGAAGTCTTCACTCAGACACTTGATGGTGCATGTTGATTTGGATTTATGTTTTCCCACACTGCAGATTATATAGCATTTTATCAGGCGGTTTCTTAACCCATAACTGAAAATACTGGTAACAACCAGAGTTGAGGCAGCAGTGACTTTATGTTAAGCTTGTTAATAATCTTGCCTCATACGGTAGACATGTATTTCACATGTTCATATCCGCATTTTATAGAAGAAACAGGTCCACAGGAGCTAAAAAAACTGGCTCCAGCCACAGAGTGAAACACAAAACCTGCATTTTAAAATGTGTTTAATTCTTTATTATTCTCCAGAGTGTGCTGGGATTGTTAATTATGCTTGATACTAGACTTCACTAGAAAGGTGGATGAATATGTTTTTAAACGTCCTTTTTAATGATAATGAATTATTTGATAAGGAATATGATAGTAGTATTTTTACGTCTAGTTTTTTAAAAAAATCTCCTTTCTTATTTTTTACAGAAGGTCTCACCCTGGGTAGGCTTGCGTAAGATCAATATCTCCTACTGGGGATGGGAGGACATGTCCCCTTTTACCAATACGACCCTGCAGTGGCTTCCTGGTGAACCCAATGATTCAGGATTCTGTGCATATCTAGAAAGGGCTGCGGTAGCTGGCTTGAAAGCTAATCCTTGTACGTCTATGGCAGATGGCCTCGTTTGTGAAAAACCTATTGGTAAGTAGTCCAATTAACTAATATTTCTGTAAAAATGTAAAGATTTCAACCCTCCTCTCAACATCTCGGTCCAGAGTGATAGTCTATGGGCCTGAAGTAACTTTAACCTTTTTAATTTATTTTCTCGGTGAAACAGACTTTTTTTTTTTTAAAAAAAAAAAACATTTTATTGTTGAGTTGAGTGAAGGTTTCCAGACAAGGTCATGTGTTTTCTATTCAATCAATCATACTTTAATTCATTCCAATGATTGCAGTCCCTTCCAAGCAACAACCACTATCCTTCTTCCTCCCTGTGATTCCTGTTTGCATTCTACCTTCCCATCCTTCTCAAATTTATCTTTAGGTCAATGTTGCCCTTTGGATTTTGAATGATTGACCATTGCATGGTGAGCATATCTCAGTGGTGATGGTGTCCGCGCCACATACCTATCTACTTGTCTGTTGTTAAGTGCGATGAAGTCAGTTCTGACTCATAGTGACCCTGTGTAGTGTTTCCTAAAATTGGGCCATGAGGGTAAGTTCCTTGCAGGACCTGAAGGGTGGGAGAGGGTCATAGTCTCAGGTTTCTAAAGTCTCTTTCTGACCAGTAAGCTTGGTCTTGTTTTTAAATCATTTTGAGTTTTGTTCCGTTTTCTCCCACTCTATCTGGGGCCTTGAAAGTAGTTGGTAGTGTTAGCTGCGTACCATCTAGACTCTGATCTCACAGCCATGGAGATGGCTTCATGTGCTCCATTAGTCCTTTGGATGGACTGATTCCAGCAGATTCAGTTCAGTTCACTCTATTTTCTTCTGCACATGAAGAGAGCTGAACCTTAGATGGCCGCATATGACATGAAGCAGACTTTTACGTTCCATGTTTATCTACTTTTCTTACTCACTTTCAGTGATCTGAGCATTAACTGGTGACAATAAAAAACTTATGTTACACAACCTTTATATCTTGGTTGAATATATGATTGAGTTCTTTGTAATATAGTTAAGAATCTGTTCTTAATTTATTACTTTAACTAATATAAAATTATTTCAGATAAAGGTGTCTCCAAGAATAAGAAATAATTGAGTATCATTATCATCTTGTAGATTTATTATTTTGACTGGCAACTAAAAGGAATCAAACATTTTTATTACATTTTTTGAAATGGATGCTGTTAAGTGAAAAAGGAATATTTGAAAAAAAAATTTTTTTTCTCTTTTAATGTTATAGTTTATGGTTGTAGAAGTTATATGCCATGGAATCGGTTCTAACTCATGGTGTATAGAATTTCCAAGGCTGTAAATCTTTATGGGAACAGAAAGCCTCATCTTTCTCCTGTGGAGCAGCTGGTAGATTCGAACTGCTGACCTTTCAGTTAGCTGTCCAACTCATAACCCACTATGGTATCAGGGTGCCTTCTATAGTTTATAGTGTATAGTAAATTTAAAATTTTTTATGCATTGCTCTTATCAGATATATATATATATATATATATATATATATATTCACTGACCAGTTCTCTACTTAGATAAGGTGTGGAATATTTATGGAAAAGATTGTAGCTGGAGAGGAAATAATGACAGTTTACATTGGATTCAACTAATATACTTGGACATGAATTATACTATAATTTATCATTTAAAAATGATACACCTTTATGTAAAGAACCCTGTTAGCAGAGTAGATTATGAGCTGAGCTGCTAGCCACAGTTTCAGCAGTTCGAGTCTCGTAGCTGCTCTGCAGGAGAAAGATGAGTCTTTCTGCTCCCATAAAGATTTACAGTCTTGGAAACCCTCTACGGATTGTTACGAGGCTGAACTGACTCGGTTCCACACATCTACCACCTTTACACCTTTATGTACTTTGTAAAGAATTAAAAATTCTCGAGGAGCTATGCATTTAGAATTGGATGATAAACTCATGTATTGGCTTACCATCCATTTTCATTTACTTCATTGTTTTTTTTTTTTTGGCTTCGCTTGGCTTAATTGAAACATGCGCTAAACAACAAAACAAATAAAACCCCACACACTTGTGTTTAAGATACAGTTAGCAAAGGAGGTAACTGTTAGTGGATTTATTGCAGTGAGTCCAAATCAGAATGCCAGGCCGTGCAAGAAGCCGTGCTCCCTGAGGACGTCCTGCACCAACTGTACGGGCGGCGGCATGGAATGCATGTGGTGCGGAAGTACCAAGCGCTGTGTGGACTCCAATGCCTATATCATCTCCTTCCCCTACGGGCAGTGTCTGGAGTGGCAGACGGCCACCTGTTCTCGTAAGTCTTTGGATCACTTTTCTGTGTTGGAAAGAGGAGTTTGACATTTGAAGAAGTTTAGAAAAGTAGGAGAAAAAATATTGCTAGAACTGGCTTTGGTGGTGGTGGTGGTGTGCTGGGGAGTCGGTTCCGACTCACAGCGTCCCTGTGTAGGGTTTCTGAGGTGTAAATCTTTACGGGAGCAGAAAGGCTCGTCTTTCTCCAGCGGAACAGCTGGTAATTTCGAACTGCTGACCCTGAGAATAGCAGCCCGTTTCATAACCACTACGCTACCAGAACTGGTTTTGTTGTGTTGCGGTTGTTGTGAAGTGCCGTAGAGTTGGTTCCGACCCATAGCGACCCTGTATAGGGTTTTTGAGAAGCACCTGGTGAACTTGAACTGCCGACTTTACAGTTCAAACAGCTTTGCAGTCTGACACATTAACCCACAGCGCCACACCAGAACTGGCTTTAAGACCTATTAATTATATTACTCAAGCAAGTAAAGTTTTGCTAAAGGTAATACAGAAACGGCTACAATCATACATTGACAGAGAACTTCCAGAGGTTCAAGCTGGATTCAGAAGAGGCCGTGG